GTGGTGGGGGGGGGGGGGGTCACGTGGTTTGATTCTCGAGCCAATGAGGTGTAAGTGCGCATTGCGATCCTGTGCAGAGGGGTTGTTTTATTGAGAGGTTGCTTGTGATCAATGAGAGCTGTCCGTGGTGCTGAAAGTTACATATTTGATTGGCTGATTTTTAGAACCTCGGACAGCGCTTGATGGCATGTCTTTATGTTCGCACATTTTATTTATTTATTTATTTTTTTTTTTTTTCGTTTTTGCAAGTGATTTGTCTTTACTTTTTCACACAAAAAACGGTCTGGGAATAACTGGACTATAGCTGAAACATTAAAAGGCTTACAAGAAAGAAAGAAAACAATAGCCCTACAAAACCAATTCTCCACCATATAGGTTCTGATACCTAATTTGTTGCTGATATAAATTCAAGAGGCGTGAATAATTTGGGCTCAGGCTCTTTTTCATGCCTCACAGGCTCCTCAATTGCAGATAGTTGGCTGCAATTCCTTGAGGGCGCATAACTCTCCAGCTCCATAATAACACAGCCACCAGTGGTCCAATCAGTGTTTGGCTTCACACACAAACCCTGGTCATATGGGTGCTCTATTGTCCGAAACTGCCACAGTGGCCATTGAGCAGGATAGAATCATAGCTTTAAGCTGCTAAAGATGTGTACAATGCCCTTTCAAGATGATTCCTTGTTTTCTACTATATTTTGTCACATTAAAACCTTCATTTTTTAGAAAATATTTAACAGCTACATATATTGCTTTACACAATAGTAAATCAGATGCAAAGGGAACCACTGGCTGCTCTTTTTGTCCATTCATTTTCGCAAAACGTCATAATATTAGTGTTATAAACCAAATTTGCATATGTGGTAATATCGTAGTAGATTTCAAAATAAAATTGGTTTTATTTAATGTTTGAATGTTATGCATCTATCAGGAAAAATGTAGGACTTAATAACACAAAAAAGTCGACATTTTTTATTTTAAATTATTTATATTTTTTTCCACAACATAAATAAGCTCTACTTTTAAAATGAAATCTTAACTAAACACAGTTAAGTTTGTACCTATAACAATGGATTCTATTTAAAGCTGTAGTGCCCAAGTCCAGTCATTCAGGGTTAGAAAAACTTCAGGAATGGACTTTCGGAGGCCTAATGTAAAGCAAATAAAGCACATCATAGGAACACGGGTGGTGGTGTGAGTGGTGATAGATATATTTGGAGAAAAGAGTGGTGATAATTATAATAATGATATAATTGTATTGATCAAAGAAATTAAGCATTAAATATAAAATGATACCCTTAGAAAATAATAAGAATGTACAAATTAATTTCAAAGCAGTATAAGCCAAGGAGCATACAAATGATATTCTTGTGTGTGGCAAGTTTGCAGTAAATTCAGAAAGCAGCAATACTCTCTCCTGATCCCATTATGAAATTCGGCAGGATTTCACATCCCAACGTTTTTCGTGACGTCGAGACAGTTGTTTTGGTCTGATCCCCCCGCCCCCCCAGCCCAATCGGAGGTCCATCTCACACATTCTCCCGGAGCCGAAATGGATCTGCTCATGCAGCGGCTCTGTCCTCCTGTGTGGAGGACCAGAACGCCCTTAGTCGGGTGCTCCCTGGTGCCTGACTGCTGCTGTGAACGGCAGCACTGACATGGAAACCCCCTTCCAGCTGCACAACGACTTCTTCCCAGAGCAGCAGCAGCAGCTCGAGCACTGTAGGTACCAGCACTATTACTGCGGACGGGAGCAGCAGCAGCAGCAGCAGCGCCTCGGCAAGCAGCACGACCAATGTTGCACCTGCAATAGCTGCAACACCTGTGATGCGAGAAAAAGCCTCGTCTTTCGCGGGACGTCGCCGACCACTGTGGGAACTTTAAGGACACCTTCAGAGACATCATCGAGGCAAGGCTACCAGCAGAGTACCGCCTGCGACTTCACACCTTCTAGTCATGGTAGTTCATCCAGATATCCTCATCCTCACCAACATCAGCAGCAGCAGTACTATCGTCAGCGGGGCAGCCTCGGAAGCAGCCACAAAGACAGCAACTCCTACAATGAAATAGCCATGAGCAGCTGCAGGTACAACGGCGGTGTCATGCGCCCGCTGAGCAACTTGGGCTCATCCCGCAGAAACATACACGAGTTCGATTCCGAGTCGCAGCCTCTGCAGCCCATCTGCGCCGCAGATGCGTCGGACACTCTTGTATCCAAGCCGGAGAACAATTCCGCCAACCTGATGCCTTATGCGTCGGTGGACGGAGGGGGTGGCTGCGGCCACAGCAGCGGCAAATCGGGGAAGAAGAAGAACCAGAACATTGGGGAGAAGCTGGGACACCGACGGGCCTTGTTTGAGAAGAGGAAGCGCCTCAGTGATTATGCTTTAATCTTCGGGATGTTTGGGATCGTAGTGATGGTAATAGAGACTGAACTGTCATGGGGAGCCTATGGAAAGGTGCGTATTTTTCCTCAAACTTCGTGGGTAATTTAGTCACTCCTCACCACAACCACTGTGGATGCAAATCGTTTAGATGTTAAAAAAAAAACTTTTTTTAAAAAAAGTGTGGAAGAAAAGTCTGATCCTCTGTTGTCTGATCAAGAAAGAGAACCAGAATGATTATGTTAAGAAACTGCCATGTCCCAATTAGTTGCAAACATTAATTAAGGACATACTCTGTATTTTGAGGAGTGTGCATGGCATCATGTTTAGTCTTGTTTGGCTTTAGTGTTCTCACTCTTTTGCAGGAATCCCTGTATTCATTAGCTCTAAAATGCCTGATAAGCCTTTCTACAATCATTCTCCTGGGGCTGATTATCATATACCATGCAAGAGAGATACAGGTAATGTAAACTTTTTTTTTTTATTCTCCTTCTACGATTTCATTATTATATTTGTTGTTGTTTTAGTAGAGTAATCAAACACTAGTTATAATATTTAAAACATACTATAATCGTTCTGTTGGGTCAGACTTTTATGCAATATTCCACTTGTAATGCTCACCATCCAGGGGGACCACCAGTCATTGGGTTGCAGTTTAACTGTTTGCAGGAAGCATGCTTTTCTACTGCTTGCTTGATGTACAGTTAATGCTGAGATGGAAAGTAGGACTTCGACACTAACAACATTAATAACGATAATTATATAGATATAGATTTTTTTAATATATGATTAAAATTGTTTAAAGAAACATAACACATTTACCTATCTCTGTCCACATATCAGTCCAGCATAAATGCATCTTTCATTTAGCTTCACACTGACTTTTAATACCCAGAAGACAAAACCCAATAACATCTTTGGCAGTTTGCATGTTAATGCACATAGAAATACTCTGTGTAAAAGGGGTACATTTGCTCACCCTTCCAAAAACCTTACAAAACATGCATTCCTCAGATTCTCCACTTAAAATAAAAGGCATCTGAGGTCTAGCGTTGACTTCCAGCCTACAGCCTGTTGGGTAAAATTAAGGTGGTTAAACACAGAAACTAACACTGCTAAGAATTCACAACATTTTACAATATATTGATGTTAAATATTGAGGGAAGACCAACTTGTCCAGAGTTTGATGGATACACTTTAAATCACCAGGGAAGATCGAATTTAAGGGGATTACTATATGGCCAAAAAAAAGTATTTGTAATATGTAAAGTTTGGTTTTATTTTTGCATTATTTTCTTTCATTAAGAATGGCTTTAAAAATAAATTTTCTTTAAATTAATTATTTCCAAGTCTTGCGCTTTTTACTATATGATCTTAATTGTTGGTTCTTTACATTCTCTTCAAATATTATAATTTGTTTACTGGCTTAACCCCTAATAGAGAGTGAATCCACACCATATTTTGTGTTCCAGGGAGGAGAATATGGACAGTGTCTGTGAAATGCCACTAATCTGATTCAAAGCTTCAGATCTAGTGCAAAACTAAAGTGTGTGTTTTGGGTTTTTGTCTGGGGGGTGGGGATGTTGCTTTTTTCTTAGTTGTTTTTTTGTGTGAAAACGTCTGGATTCAATTTGATCATATTTAATTCAAAGTGTAAAGTGCTTAGATTGAGTAAACCTAAACTGGACTTTCTTTACTAAAAATAGAAACCCAGGTATCTTTTAAGGCTTATTTTGTTTGAAAAAATACACACAAACAATGCCTTGATTTTTGTTTCTATCTGCTGTTCTACCCTGTGCCAATCAGAATGCATTACCTACTGTTAGCTTTGATTTCAGAAGTTTATGTAGAAATAAAATGTTTTGGAAGGGTCCCTTTTGCCACAAAACTGGCTTAAATCTGAGGCTACTAAACTTACATTCTGTTTTACTGAAAATGTTTCAACACCCACCCGGTAGTCTTTATCAATTCTGTCAGCTCCCTGACAATCTGTAGAGAGCATTGTGAGTTAGATGCAAATCAAAGACCCACCCTTCATTCTCCTGAGTTTTTGGGGTCTGTTGATTTGTATGAGTTTTGTGTTTGGTAATTTTAATCATGATGCGACTGCTTGTATAATGTTTTTCAGAATTAGTTCAATGACAGAGTTGTATATGCTTGGGAGCTGAAAATAAAATCCCCCCTTCTGCTTAGCGTTCCTTCACCCCTCTTTCAAACCATCTTTCATTTCTGTCAAAAATCTGAGCATTTTTGTCTTCAAAGGTGTGTCCTTTGTTCTTGAGGTGCAATTGTATAACTGAATCTTGCTCAGAGCAGATGGCTCTACTGAGCTGTGACATGCTTTTATGTAGTTGTTGTTTGGTTTCTTCTGTGTAGGAGTGTGAGCTGTCCTTGCTTTACTGGATTGGATAAATAACACAGCTCACCTTTGACTTAAGTGTTCCTGTCTTTAAAATAAATCAGTATTTGTCTGAAAGTATTGTTTGGTTTAAGACCACGGAGCCGAGAGGTGGGCAATAGAGGGTTAATGGGTCCATTCCTCCAACGTCTACCGCTTATCTGTCAGGATCACAGAGGGGTAGCAGCATTTGGGCAAAAGGCAGAGAACCCAAAAGGCAGGTCACCAGTCCATCAGAAGAGATACAACCATGAACACACACACACACAACTTTATATTTCTATCCGTATTGAGACTCTAAATTGACTTACAAGCCTAACCCTGACATTTACCATAACCCTAAGCATTATCTGTATATTCCTAACCCTAACCACACTTAACTGACTCTAGGGGAAAAAATGGGGGTCTGCCACATTAGGACCAGCCTTTGGTCCCATAAGGCCTGTTGGTCCTCAGAAGGTCAGCAAATATACCAAAAATGGTCCTTTATAGGTAAGATAAGCAAGTACAGGCACACACACCCAAACACACTGACACTTGTCTCACTATCTTCGTGGGGCCTTTCCATTGACTTCCATACATTTCTACATCCTAACCGTGACCCTAACCCTTACCATTATGGGTTCATACCTAGGCATAACCACAACCTAAACTCAATTCTATACTTCGTTCTAAACATCACCCCTGACCCAAGAACAGCAATTCCCTGTGTGGTGTCCAAGCATCGGGCCCCATGAGAAGCAGTCAGTCCCCACAATGTGCATTTTCCCTGAAAGTGGGCTCCAAAATGTATTAAAAAAACAAGGAAACACACACACCAACTCCTAAGTGCAATTTAGAGTCACATGTTAACCTAATAGTTATGTCTGAGAGCAAGTAAGAGGAAGCCATCATATCCAGCATGAACAGGGAGACCATGCAAACTCCATGCAGAAAGACCCTTGCCTTGGATTCAAACTCAGGACCTTCATGCTGCAACGGCAACATCTTGCAGCCCATTGATAATAAATTAATAATGAATATGAATAATAATGCAATTAACCATATGTATTTTTTATATGTTTCATGTTGCACGACTGTACCACGAAGAATTCCTAGTTGTGAACTTCTTCACTAACAATGGCAATAAACCCGATTCTGATTCTGAAACGTCAAAGACAAAGTGAAAAGAATAAAAATAACAAAATTTAAATAGATAAAGCATTGAATCTTAATCATAAATCCTGGAAAAGCTGAATGTGAACATCATATCCCTTGGATTTAATTTAATTTTCCCTTCACAGGCTCTGTGATGATTACTCTTGGGGGGGGGGGGGGGGATTTAATATTCAGTTTTGTTTTTTATATACATGCAACAGTACTGAAGTTTAGTCATGGTCTTTTTCGTTTTGGTTCAATTGCATAAAGATGGCTTGCTTCCTGCAGCATGAATCCATCCCCCCAGATGTCCTTTTCCCTGCTGATATTATTCTGTTAGCAGTATTGTGGGGTTGGGCAAAAGGACGGTTTCGCCCAGGGCAAGAGCCAGCACTGCATGAAATCATATCTTTTATAGCTTTTTACTGGTTCAAAAATATGTTGTTTTTATTATCCAAAACCTCCACTATGGCAAAGCACATTTTATCAGAAACAACAACAACACAAGGTTTAGTTTTAGAGATTTAATGTTTTCAATTTAAGGTTTCACAGTTCTTTATTTAAATGAGTTGCCTCAAGTTTTTTTCCCCTCAAATCAAACCTGCTAAGCAATACTTAAAGTGTTTCTTTCTGCAGGTATGATTTTAAAAATGTATCACAGGCCTTAGAACTCTCTCTACTGAGATGCTTCAACACACGTTTTTAAGCTCGCCTTGGAACAGTGTTGTGCTTTGTCTGCATGTCTTCACTGAGTTCATACCTATAAAATTAACTGCAATTGCTGCTGAGTAGATGCATGTTGGCTGAAAGGTTTCATCTATCTAAAACATATTTTTCTTTTTATATAAAATCAAATCAAAAGGAAAAGCTCACATTAAAGAAAATGCAACATAAGCGCTTCCTCAAACAGCATCATGTTCAATCATGTTAATGCATTTTCTTATGCATATGATTGCCTCAATGGGCATACGCTGATCCTGCTGGTTTCTGTCCCGTTTAAGCCTCTCTCGGATATTAATAGATGCCTTATTTTTCTTCTCTTTTCTACTTGGATGAAAAGGTAACCTTTTTTTATTTCTTTTGATCTAAAGTCACATTATCAGTTGAATGGATCAGCCTCGTTGGTAAATTTAGAACTAGCAAATCCCATGAGAGGCTCAATCATTGCATTGTGGCACTGCTTTCAGCTGTGAGTCTTTCTTCATGAAGGATGACAGCAAATCACCAACATCCATTCCACATTTAATTTCATTACAGAGGTGTTTGATTTTCCCTGCAGGCAGGCTCAAATAGACATAAGAAATTAGAAAAAAAAATGGCATGGGTCAAATTTGACACGGTATTTTAACCTTCTCTGACTCCTCTGGCTTCTACACAATTAACTTAAGCAAGGCATGGATTATTACATCAGTTGTGCTGAGGGGGTATCAGGTTGGTTATCCAGTTGAAGTGGATTTTTTGGTTCTTGAAAAGTTCCTTGAGTCATTTAGTGGAAGCAAAGGGTTCCAGTAAAGCTGTTTAACAAAAGCAATATCTGTTTCTATAGTCCAGGGTCTCTCTTGTAACTAATCTTCTCTGTGGTGTTATTGGATAGGTTCTTCCAGCATAATTTGTTTGACTTGGGTATCCGTTATTACACTTTTCAAGAAGCTTGCAAGTCTTAGAACACTATCCAGTAAATTGCATCATAAAGAAGCAGTACCTGAAAATATTAGCCATGTCAAGTCAGACCTTGGATTTGAGTGGGTTTTTCCAAATGGATGATTCCATCCATTTCACCAAATTAGTTCAAATTTGACTTAAGGATAACAGAGTGTATGTTATAAAACTTCCCTTAATCCAACATGACCTAAAATAGTAAAACTTTGTTTTGATTTTGAGTGAAAAGGGAAGAGAATGTGCTTTTTTGTGTGTACATATCTGGTT